CGGAACCAGAGTGGCTTCAGGGACAGGGGCCCTCAGGTATCTGCAGAAGATTCGGCTCCTTTCTGGGGTACATGGAAGGTGTGTAAACCAGCCGGTCCCTTTGGATCACTGGGGAGAGGTTCCTGCCCTCATGGCATATGTGTGTTGCTTTTGTTATTAATAAACTTTTAATTTTAGAACAGTTTTAGATTTATAGAAGAGTTTCAAAGATAGTACAGAGAATTCCTAGACCCTCTTCTCCCAGTGTTCTCTCTTGTTAGTGACTTATATCACCATGGTACGTTTGGCGTAACTAAGGAGCTAACATTGGTTCAGTGCTATTCACTAAACTGTAGTTTATTCTGATTTCCTTAGTTTTTACCTAATGTCCTTTTTCTGTCCCAGGATCCCATCCAGGCTATTCCATTACATTTAATCATTGTATCTTCTTAGCTTCCTCTGGTCTGTGACAGTTTTTCACCTTTTCTTTTCTTTCTTTTTTTTTTTTTTTTTAACAGAGTCTTGTTCTATTGCCCTGGCTAGATTGCAGTGGTGTCGTCATAACTCACTGCAACCTCAAATTCCTGGGCTCAAGCAATGCTTGCTCCTGAGTAGCTGGGACTACAGATATGTGTCACCATGCCTGGCTAATTTTTCTATTTTTTGCAGAGACAGGGTCTCAATCGTGGTCAGTCTGGTCTCAAACTCCTGACCTCAAGTGATCCTCCTGCCTCAGCTTTCCAAAGTGCTAGGATTACAGGCATGCGCCACTGTGCCCAGCCTAACTATCCTTGTTTTTAATGACCTTGATAGTTCTCAGGAGTACAGGTCTGGTACTTTGTAGAATGGCCCTCAATTTGGAATTATCTAATGTTTTCTTCATGGTTAGATTGGGGTTATGGCATTTTGGGAGGAAAACCACAGAGGTTAAGTGGCATTTTCAACATATCGTATTAATATTACATATCAACATGATTTATCGCTATTGATGCTGACATCAAGCACTCGGCTGATGTAAAATCAGTCCCCCCTTCCTAGTTCTCTTTAGAAGGAAGTCACTATTCATAGCCCACACTTAAGGAGTGGGAAGTTGTATTCCATTTTCTTAATGGGGGAGTATATATATAAATTGTTCAGAATTTTTCTCTATGAGAGACTTGCCTGTTCTCCCCCATTTACTTATTTACTTATTCTAACATTTATTTATATCAATATGGACTCATGGATATTTATTTTATACTTTGCTTTACAATCCAGTACTATGTTATTTATTTTCTTGCTCAAATTGTTTCACCTTCGACCATGGGGAGTTCTTTCAGAACTCTTGTGTCCCCTTGACAAATCCTTACCTTTTTGTTTTTTGAGTACAGTTGGCCCTTGTATCCGTGGGTTCTGCACCTGTGGATTCAACAAATCTCAGGTTGAAAATATTGGGGGAAAAACGGATGGTTGTGTCTCTACTCAACAGACTTCTTTTCTTGTCATTATTCTCTAAACAATATTATATAACAACTTATTTAAATCACATTTCCACCATAGTGGGTATTATGCATAACCTAGAGAGGATTTAAAGCATACAGGAAGATTTGCAGTGATTACATGCAAATCCTACACCATTTTATATCAGGGACTTGAGCATCCGTGGATTTGGGAATCTGCAGGAAGTCCTGGAACCAATCTCTTATGGGCACTGAGGGATGACTGTACCTCCTCACTTTCTGGCACAAGATGCTCAGGAACATCTCAAGTTTTTCCTACCCCAGCCCTAGCATCAGCCATTTCTCCAAGGATTCCTGCTGCTTTTTATTGGAGAATGGTATTTAGAAACCAAGGTCTGGGTGTGAGAGTGCTTGTTGCAACTGAGGTGCCACTGCTTCTTCCAGGCCCTTTCAGTGGACAGAGCCGGGAAATGCATGTGAGCATACTACCCTGTGTGTGCATACCTATCTCCCCTTGCTTTTTGGAATGCATGGTCCCACCTGATAGCCGAGCCCTGGGCCCATGCTCCTGGTCACACATGGTAATCATGTCCGCACGTCCCACAGTAGGAAGGAAAACTTGGACAACTGCATAAACAGGAATGACAAAACCACTTGGAAGGCTGAAAGAATATTTTCCAGGTACACAAAAAATACAGAGAATAATAGGAGAAACATCTGGGTACCTACCACCTGGTTTGAGAAATAAGACATGTGCAAATACAATTCAACCCTCCACGAATACACCTCCCCAGTCACCCTTGTGACACCCAGTAAACTGAAGACTGTTTATTTTTCATATTTCCTCTTTTACATATTTCCTCTGTGTATATACCTAGATGGTATATCTTGTTTTACATGTTGTCAAACTCTATAAAAGTGATATTTTACTGTGCTCCTACAACTTGAATCTTCATTAACTGAGAACTTTGACACGTACTTATCTTCCCAGCAATCTCGAGGAAAGCGAGAATCACTGTCTCCATTGCACAGATAGAGAAACTGATAACTTGCAGCAATGATGTGATTTTTGCCAACTTCAAGCAGCTGATAAAAATGGGCTAATGTTTGTATCTTCAGAGCCCGAGTCCATGCTCTTTGTGTGATGCAAATGTTGAACTTCGTCAGGGAAGGGAAGAACACACAGGTCTTCATGGTCACTTCATGACTCTGCTGTTCCCTTGGGGCCTGGAGGTCGTAATGTCTCCCTTAGCCTGGGATCCCACACTCCATCTGGGCCTGGCAGGTTCCAGAAGTTTGATGAAATGAGGACCCATATGGCTGGTTCAGACTCCCACTCTCACATCACTCCCCACTGGCGTCTGTGCCGTCTCCTCTCCTCCCAAGACTGGAAATAACATCGATCTGGCTCAAAAGTCACCCCCTCCTTACTTTAGCACCAGATGCCACCCCTCAACTTCACTCTGCCCTGCAGCGCCATTTCCTGCTGCCTGTTGGACCGTTGCCTGCACATTCGAACAGCTGCCTTCCTCTCTCATGCTAGCAAAGAGAAAAAAGGTCTCTTGCTCCTACTTCTGCCTCCTGCTACTGTCCTATTTTTGTGCTTTGTTTTGCTGTAGAACTTCTGGAAAGAGTCGTCTACACTGGCTTTTTCCATTGCTCTCTTATACCCGTTCCAGTTGGACTTTTGTCCCTTCTACTGACACTTCTGCTGATGCTCTTAACGCCAGAACTGCCCCCATGAAGGTCACTGAGAGCTCCCAGGCTCCAGATCCAGCACTCCGTTCTCAGTCCTCTTCTCGCTTGCCTGGTGGCAGCGTTTGGCACAGTTTCCTCTCCCGCCCCCAAGAAATCCTTTCTTCCCTTGGCTTCCAGGGTGCCCTGTGCCTGGGATTTTCTTCCTGCTTTGCTGGACTTTGCCAAGTCCTCTTACTGACCTCTCAGTGTTGGCATGTCCCTAGGGTCAAGCCATGCACCTCTTCTCTGTGCAATCCACACTCACCATACCATCCTGGGGTGGCTGAAGGACTCCACATCTGAGAATTCACATCTCAGTGCTGACTTCTCTCCTGAACTCGAGACTTGTATATCTGATTGCCCACACGCCATCTTCCCTTGGGCGTCTGAAGGACATCCCAACGTAAAAGGTGCCACACTGCCCCTGACTATCCCTCCCAAGCCTAATCTCCCCATCTCGGTAAATGGCAGCTGCATCCTTCCAGATGCCTAGACCATGGACTCGGAGCCAACCTTGACCCCTGTCTCTCTGCAATCCCACATCTGGTCTGTTCCAAGATCCTGTCCCTGGTCACCCATGACCTGCACTGGTGCCATGTGGCCCTATTCATCTGCCCCCTCCCCCCCGGATTGTTGCTCCAGCCTCCTGACAGGGTCCTGTTTGGACCCTACCACTTCCCACCCCAGTCTGTGTCTGCTCAGGAGCTGGTTTGCTGCCTAAGAATTTAAAGAAGGTTATTCCTTGGTCCAGAACCCTTCAGTGCCCCCAGCCCACTCAGAGTAAAAGCTGGATGCCCCTGCTCAACTCTTTCATCTCTGACTTTATTTCCTAAAACTGTATCCTGCAAAAACCTGCCTGGCTAAATTTATCACCTTATTCGTGTCAATTCACATGTTCCCTTCTCTGAGAGCCTTCTGCAGGCTTTGGTGCTGACCCACATCCCTGCGCTGGTAACCTGTGTGCCATGCACAAGCACATCTGCATTAACTCTGTGACGTACTGAGTGATGCTGTCTGCGCCCCGTTCAGAGCGAAGGTCTGGGAAGCTCAGGGGTCTTGGTCTCAGTTTCCCAGGCCCCAGCACCTGCTCTAAAAGGGCGCTTGCTGGCAGGCTGGTGCAAGTGTATAGGCTACATTTAGGGGCAAGGGCTTCCTTTAATTTTGCACCCTGGATCCCTCACTTGCCTCACCCTAGTCCCAGCCATTACCTGGGGTATAGTCTGCCCCTACGTCTTCAGAACCCTGGGACCTTTCTTAGACTTGGTTGATTGGCCTTTGTGGATTTCCAACCAGGAAGGGGCCCTGGCTCTGGCCATGAGGGTAGCGTGCATGTGGGCACTGACTGGCAGGCTTCGTTTCCTCCACACTGAGCCGGCCAGAGGCACAGCAGCCCATCCCTGCTGCCATGGCTAACTCAGTCCCTGGGCCTTTCTGACACTGTGCTCAGCTGTGGGTATGTGTTGCAATGAACAGAACCTAGAAATGTAGATCTTTTTTGGACATTGTGATTTTTCAACCACAGTAGAAAGTACATTTTACTTTTACCACCTAGGACAAATGTCGTTATAGATCTCAAACAGAAGTTTCAGGAAATGACTTCATACACTCATTAGAGGTGATGCATTTTGTATACCCTTCTATTTTGTTTTTAAAATTTTGGTGCCACCCAATAAATTTACTTCCTGACCTGCCTGTGGGTCCCTAGAGTCTGTAAGCCATGCCTTTCTCCACCATACTCAGAGATGAAAAACCTGAACTATACAGAGCTTAAAGGCCTAGCTAAGGTTACGCCAGTGAATTCACGGGAGAGCCAGGACTGGAATCCTGTCTTATTCCCATCTTGTGGCTTTTTTAGGCTCTTATAATTAATTTTAATGATTGCACCATTGTGGCTTATTTAAATTACCCCAGGAGGAACATCAGCTCTGTTAAAGAAATTTTATTATAGCTGCCCACCTGCTCTATTCAGGGAAATGCATCTTTTGTGGATTTCTTATGGGTAGTTAAGAGGGTCTAAGAAGCCTGTTTATAGTCACTGATTTAACTGTAGATGACAATGAAGTTAAGTAAAAAAAGCTGGTTCCATCTGCAGGAGCACGTGAGTGATTTGAATTAGAAAAGGGTATTGCCCAAAACACTACCCAGGTGCCTAGGGAGGCTTGCTGGCCCTCGTGGGCTCCCTGAGGGCAGAGCTGTGGTGTTGGGCAGTGGGCACAGTTCCATGCCATGAGGCATGTTTGGGACAGAAACTGGTGCTTGAGCGGAGGTGTTGGTGCTGTCTTCTGGCTACTTGCCACTCCAAGCATGGACTTGGACAGTAGCTTAGTAACCATGGACGAGCTGTGGGAAATACAGAGTCTCAGGCCCCATCCCAGCTCTGCTGACTCAGAACCAGCATATTAACAAGACTAGGGGGTTGTATGCAGCTCTGGTCGGCAGATTGGGTGCGGCTCTGGTTTAAGGATTTGAGTCTTTGGTTTGTAGTTTTCAGATCAAATTGGCCATCATTAGCAGCAAAGGGTTAATATGGTTTAGTTACCACATGTGGGGTATCATGCTAGGTGCTGTGGTAACAGAAAGGGGAGGGCTAGAGGGCTAGAGCCCTCCCTGCCTCTGGTGACTTGCTGTCCAGTGGTTAGGCAGGGGGTGGTGTATGCAGCCACACAGCATGGTGTTTTACAAAGTGGGAGTGCTGTAGGCACCCAGGCTGGATTTAGATGCAAGAGGGGAGAACAGGTGGGGAGGGGGTCCCACGCAGGAGGAACTATGTGAAGAAAGGTGTGGAGGCAGGAGGAGTCTAGGTGTGGTCAGGGGACATCTAGTGTCTGGATGGAGGCAGGTGATAGCCAGGTTCTGGAAGGCTTTAAGTCACAACTTTATATATTTGGACTTTATCCACTGGATCATGGGAGCCACTATAAACTTTTTTTAGTTAAAAAGTTCTAATTTTTAAAAATTGTGTAAAATACACATAACATGAAATTTACCATCTGAACCATTTCAAGTACACAGTTGAGTAGCATTAAGTACATTCACAGTGTTGTGCAACTATCACCACCATCTGTCTCCAGAACTTTTCATCTTGCACAACTGAGACTCTGTGTGGTAAACAGTAACTCCCCATTCCTCCCCCCACCAACGCCTGGCATCCATGTCCTACTTTTTTGTCTCTATCATCTTGACTACTCTAGGTACCTCGTATGAATGGAATCACACAGTATTTGTGCTTTTGTGACTGGCTTGTTTCACTTAGCATAATGTCCTTAAGGCTCGTGCATGCTGTAGCATGTGTCAGAATCTCCTTTTTAAAGACTAATTAATATTCCAATGTATGAATACAGCACGTTTTTCTTATCCATTCATCTGTCAGTGGACACTTGGGTTGTTTCCTCCGTTTGGCTACTATGAATAATACTGCTATGAACATGAATGTACAGATATCTCTGTGAGTCTGTGATTTCAATTCCTTTAGATACAATTCCACTCAGAAGTGGAATTGCTAGATCATGTGGTAATCCTATTTTTAATTATTTGAGGAAGCACCATGCCATTTTCCACAGGGGCTGCACCATTTCCCCTTCCCACCCCCAGTGTACAAGGGTTCCAGTTTCTCCATGTCCTCACCACTACTTGTTCTTTTCTGGTTTTTCAGTAGCGGCTTTCCTAGTGGGAGTGAGGCAGCATCCCACTGTGGTTTTGATTGGCATTACCCTGATGCTCCGTGGCATGGAGCATCTTCCCCTGTTTGTGAGCACTGTGGCTTGGGAGCAGGAGAACTGTGGCAGGGGAGGCACGCTTGCAGGGCTATTTAAGAGGGTAAAGGGCTGTGCTGCTCAATGCAGATCAGATTTGTGGTGGGGACACTGTACCTGCAGAACAGGCCTCCTCCACACTGCTTTGGTGGCTTCTGTGGGAATAACATGTATCCGGGATGCTGTCCCCGAACTGGGAGGGAGCTCCATCTGGTTTTATGTGTGGCCTGTGCTGAACCAAGCCCACCACATTTTCCCTTTCTGTGTCCTGCTGCTACGGGGTTGAAGTCTGAGAAGCCAAGACAGGCGGGGGAACATTTGAAGGACATGTCCCTTGCTGTGGCACCTTTGCAGAAGTGGCTGACATTTGTGCCAGCTCCTGGCATTTTTGATGCTCTCCCTTCTGGACACATGAGAGGATTGTGCTTCTCTCCTTCCTCAAACTTAGATATGACCACGTGAGTTGCTTCGGCCAATGAGATGTGAGCAAAAGTGACCTACAGGTAGAAGCTTTAGGAGACTGACCACTCCGTCCCTTCCCTAATCACATGACCTTGGAAGCACATGCTGAGGAGGAGGGGCCGTAATATCAAAGTGGCTGTCCTTTGCCCTTGACTCACGGTAGACTCTGAGTGAGCAAGACAGAAAGTATTCCTGGGCGGAGGTGCTGTGACTTAGGAGTCGTTTGTTACCACAGCACAGCCTATCCTATCCTGACCAATCCAGAAGGAACCTGAAATGTGTGTTAAGTGCAAACATAGGTTAAGATGGAAATGTAGCATTTGGGGGTAATTGCATGTGCTTAAGACCTCAGAGAGTTTTGAGACTTGGCTAATGAGCTACATTTTTCTGTAGGTAAGTCTCTTGCTGAAGAGTTGATTACCAGATGTTACTGGTTTCCCTGGCCAGCAGCACATTGCTCTGACTTGTGCTTGCCCTTGGCCTGCCCCGGTGGGGCTGAAGCTGATGAGGACTCATGAACCCTGCAGCTCTGCTCGGATGTAATGGCCTCGGTGTTGTCCAGTGCTTATCAAATCCAGAGCCCGTTTAGATTTCGGTAGACAAGTCCAGACTCTGTGGACCTCATTATACTTCCAAAGCAGGAGGGTCAGTGTTTTTAGTAGTTACTCTGAACATTGTTTTTTGAGTGCAGAAATGACTTTTTAAGATCAGAAAATTTCTAAGACTTTCACCACTTGACTATATAGTCTTGTTTTTATTATAGGACTGCTTTGCTTGTTCAACAACTATTCATTAAGCAAATCTTTTTTCATCTTAAGTGTACCTTTCCACTATAGAACTTTAAAAATATACAAAAAAGTAGAGAGCATTATATCTTCAGTCTCTGTTATGGGCTGAGCTATGCTCCTCCCAAATTAATTCGTTGGAGTCTTAACCCCCAGTAACCCCCAGTACCTCAATGTGACTGTCTTTGGAGATAGGTACTTACAGGGGTAATTGAGTTAAACTGAGACCATTAAGGTGACGTAATCCAGTCTGGGTGATGTCCTAATAAGAAGGGATTTGGACGCAGACAGGCACAATACACAGAAGGACGACCATGTGAATACACAGGGAGATGACAGCCACGTACAAGTCAAGGAGAAACCAACTCTGGTGGCCTCTTGATCTTGGACTTCCAACATCCAGGCTGTGAGAAAATAAATTTCTGTTGTTTAAGCCACTCAACCTGTGGTACTTTGTTATGGCAGCTCTAGCAGACTAATACAGTGCCTGTGTACTATGTTTAGCTTCAGCATTTTCCACGTTTAAGCAATCTTCATGGACTGCCCCTGGTGTGTAGAGATCACGGAGCGTACAGCAGAGAAGCAGAGGAAGCGTCTGCCTGTGTGAAGCTTCCTTTCTGTGGGAGCTAGAAAGCCTCATGAGGACAAGTTTCCATTAGGGTGTTTTGAATTTTCATAGTCACACGACATTTGTATACCTTAGACGTCCTTGTTGGAACACAGCGTGCAGGTGGTCTTCCAGCAGTGCTGAGCGTGCGGATGGATTCTCAGACCCTCCTAGGCTCACCCTTTGGGAACCCAGGCGTCAGGCGCAGGATCAGTTTGTGATGTAAATGGACAAAGTTGGAGTGAGAACCATGGCCCGGCAGCTCTGCCCCAGTCACGCCAAACCGATCAAATGGACCGGGATTTAGACCACCCCTGGGAGCCAGCTGGGCCCATAGGAGCCAGGATGCAAACATCATTCTTACACAATAAAGAAGTGGGGAGAGGATGAATCACACTGGGAAATGATTCATTTGCTTATGGATGGATTCATCCAGGATTCCTTTAAATACCAAATCCCCATGTACATTTAAAAATACCTAGCTCACTCAAAAACATTATGCTGAGCGAAAGAAGCCAGACACGAAAGACTACATGTTGTACAATTCCATTTATAGGATGTTTCTAGAAAAGGCCTAATTATAGGGACAGGAAGCAAATGAGTGGTTGCCCGGGTCTGGGGACGTAAGCGGGAATTGGCTGCAGACAGACATGAGGGAGGCTTAGAGGTGATGAGCACTGCACAAGCACATTGAGGCAATGCCCGAGCAACTGATACGTTCACTGAACATCATCCCCACTGACGGCAGGGGAACTGTGTGGTGCCTAAGGTATATCTGGGTAAAGGTGGGAAAGCCACTCAGTTCAGCTCTGTGGAAAATCAAGGGAGTCTTCTTGGAGGAAGTGGGCTCTGAGCTGGATGTGAATCACCGAGTGTCTTTTGGTAAGGAGCTGCAGGGCAGGCGATGAGGCAGGCGGAAGGAGAGTTTGTTGCAGGTGAAAGCATCAGGAAATTGAAGGGACACCCAGCAATTCTCCACTCTGGTTGCACGTTCCAGCCCCCTGGAGGGTGTTTTGAAAGCACAGGTGCCTGGGCCCTATTCCTGGGGATTCAGATTTAACTGGTCTGGGTTACAGGTCCTGGATGTCAGTATCTTCTAAAAACATATTTTTAAATGAAGTGATATTCTAATTCTATCATTTCTTTTTCACTTCTCAGCTGGAATGCTTCTATAAAGAGATACCTCCCCACATCCATTATGTGATCACCCAGTGGGACAGTTCGTAGAGAGGAGGCAGGGTGAGCATGTGATTCTTTCACTTCATTTCCCAGTCGTGAGGATGATGAATTTGTTTCCCAAGACCTTCCAAGGGTGACCAATTTGTGTTTTGTTTTTGCTTATTTTAGAACTGTCATTCTCAACTCATGGGCTTGAGCATATTTGATAGGTTTCAATCATTATCGTGGCAATCATTATCCTTATTGGTGTTGAATTGTTCTACCTTTGGCTAGTGGGAGTATCTTCAGCTTGGCCCCTAAGACCTTTTGTTGTTGTTGTTGTTGTTGAGACAGGGTCAGTCTTACTCTGTTGCCCAGTGTGGAGTGCAGTGGCATCATCATAGCTCACTGTAATCTCAAACTCCTGGGCTCAGGTGATCCTCCTGCCTCAGCCTCCCGAGTAGCTGAGACTATAAACACACGCCACCATGCTTAGCTAATTTTTCTATTTGTTTGTTTAGATGGGGTCTTTCTAAGTTGCCCAGGCTTGTCTTCAACTCCTGGCCTCAAAGGATCCTCCCACCTTAGCCTCCCAAAGTGCTGGGATTACAAGCATGAGCCACCACGCCTGGTGCCCCTGGGTCCTTTTGACATGATCCTACTCATGTTTGATAGCTTTCTTGCCTTTTAAAAATAAAGTAGCTTTATTTTTCCATCCCTCCCCCACTAGCTTGTTAGGTATGTGTTCCTTTATTATTCTGTTAAGTTGTCCTAGAGACTATGACATGCAGCCTTGACTCCTTAGACTAGTGATTGAAGAGTCTTCTTTAAATTGGTGCGCTAACCACTTCCTGGACAATACAGGGGCTTTACATGCAGATATCAGTATGTTTTAAAAGCTGCCCAGGAGGTCTTTGTGACTGTCTAGGGCTGAAAACTCTAGATGGGGCACCGGATGGGTGGCAGGTGAATCAAGAGGTTGGCAGGATGTTGTAGCAGGCAAGACCAGGCCCAAAGCCATCAGTAAATAAGGGTAAGGGTAGGTGTGAGTTTTCTAGTTGGTTATCAGGTTTATATTTTAAAGAACATTTTTCTAATTCTGTTTTTCGTTTGTTTGGTCTGACTCTGGCCTGATGTGGTGATACGGCATTTTCAATTTGTAGGTCCTTGTAGAATTGGGAAGGAGGGATGCCCTTTGTCCGAGATGCTCCTGTTATTTGGGTGCTATAGGAATTGAAAGTAAGTCATGCAGCCCAGGCCTGGCAGAGGATGCATTTAAGATTCTCAGCAGATGAGGGGCCTTCCCCTGTGCTTGGCACATTGCTGAGGGCCTCACCTGCACGGTGTCATTTAGTCCTCCCGCCCCTTTGACAGATGAGAAGTGGAGGATTGGTGAGAACTTTCCTGATGCATGCTCCAGGCCACATGGCCGCAGGTGCCAGAGCCAGGACCCAAACTCAGCTCTAACTTTTGTCACCAGCATGAAGGGGTGAGAAACCGGCCACAGTCTGCTTCACTGGGGCTTACTGTGATCATGGTCTCATTGACAATGTGACCTAGAAGATAGGCTCGTTGTAGAATATAAATCTGAAGGAAGCATTGTCCTTACCAACATCATGTTTGTGGTGTGACTTGATGTATCCTTTTTTTTTTTTTCTAACTTTTTATTCATGGAAAGGTGCAAAGAAATGTTCAGGGAGGTCCTGTACACCCTTCACCCAGCCACCCTGTAGTGTTAACAGCCTGCGTAACTACAGGGCAGTAGTAGAACCAGGAAATTGTTATTGGTCTAGTCAACAGAAGCTACTCAGATTTCACTAGTTATACCCACATTAATTTGCATGTGTGTGTGTATTAATGGTTCTGCACAGTTGAATGTGTGGCTCATGTAACCACTGCCACAATCAAGCTATTCGACTGAACCATAACCAAGGGACTCCCTCACGCTACCCCTTTGTAGCTACGTGCACGCCCACCATTCCATCGTTCCTAACCTCTGTGCTCCTTATCTGTGTGTGAGCATGAATGTTATATAAATGAAATCTTGCAGTATGTGTCCTTTTGAGATTGCCTTTTATCACTCAGCATAATTTCTTTGAGGTTCACTCAAGTTGTTGCATGTTATCAATAGTCCATTCCTTTTTATTGCTGAGTAGTATTCCCTGTTGGGATGCACTGTAGTTGGTTTAACTGTTTACCTGTTGAAGGACATTTGCATGTCCAATTTTGGGTTATTATGACTAAAGCTGTTATGAACATTCATGTACAAGTTACTGTGTGAAAATAAGTTTTTATTCCTCTGGGATCAGTTTTCTGCAATTGCTGGATTGTATGGTAAATCCATTTTTAGTTTTAAAGGAACTGCCAAACTATTTTCTAAAATGGCCATACCACTTTATATTCCCTCTAGCAATGTATGAGTGATCCAGTTTCTCCATATCCTTGCTAAGATTTTGTGTTGTCATGTTTTTATTTTATAGCATAAACATTGTTACATTTATGCTATTCTCATAGGTATGTAGTGATATCTCATTGTGGTTTTACTTTGCATTTTTCTAATGGCTATTAATGTCAGACATCTTTTCATGTGATCATTCACCATCTGTACATCCTCTGGGGTGAAGTGTCTGTTCATAATTTTTGGTCATTTTCTAATTGGAGTGTTTGGTTTTTTTACTGTTGTTGAGTTTTGAGGGTTCTTCATATATTCTGGATACAAGTACTTTGTTAGATATGTGATTTGCAAATATGTTCTCATAGACTATAATTTTTCTTTTCGTTATCTTGACCTTTGGCAAAGCAAAAGTTTTTTAATTTTAGTGAGGTACAATTTTTATCAATTTTTCCCTTTTATGGATTCTGTATTTGGTGTTACATATAAGAATTCTTTGCCTAATTCTAGGTTCACTGTCCTTTCCTATGATTGTTTTTTCTAGAAGTTTAACAATTTTATATTTTAGATTTAGTTCTCAGTTTATTTTGAGTTAATTTTTGTATAAGATATGAGGTTTAGGTCAAATTTTCTTTTTCCTTTCTTTTTTTTTTTTTTTTAACCTATGGATGTCCAAATACTCCAGCACCATTTATAGAAAAGGCTGTCTTTCCTCCATTGAATTACTCTTGCGCCTTTGTCAAATATCAGTAAGGCATATTTGTATGGATCATTTTTTCTGGGTTCTCTGTTCTGTTCCATTGATCTATATGTCTGTCCCTTTGCCAGTCCCACACTGTTTTGATTACTGTTGCTTTGAACTTTTGCTTCAACCTTAAAATATGATTAAAGAAACTCATGAAGTGAAAGATAGTCCTAGTGTTCCTCTGTTATTTTCTTTCTGTTTGAAGAGCTTATTTTAACCATTCTTTAAAGGTAGTTCTGCTCATAATAAATCCTATTATTTTCTGTTTTTCTGAGAAGGTCTTTATTTCTGTTTCATTTTTTTTTTGGTAACAACCTTATTGAGACATAATTCACATACCATATAATTCACCCTCTTAAAGTGTACAATTCAGTGTTTTTTAGTATATTCACAGACTTTTGAATCATCATCACAATCTTATTTTAGAACATGTAATAAATTTTTAAATCTGAATTTTTGCATATCATTGAGGGAAAGAGAGGGAAAAGTAGTCTATACCATCTTGTTCTGGAACTGGAAGTTGATATGTCTTTTCAAGTCTTTTATAAATTGCAGGTTCCTCTCTCCATCCCTTTCTTTATTTTTTTGAAAATGTTTTCTTATTTTTTTATTTTTAATTGTGGTAAAAGATATGTATAAATTTACCATCTTAACCATTTTTAAGTGTACAGTTCGGTGCTATGAAGTATATTCACATTGTGCAACTATCACTACTGTTCATCTGCAGAACTTCTTTATTTTCCCCAAACTGAAACCCTGTATCCCTTAAACAATGGCTTCCCACTCTTCTTTTCCCATAGCCCTTGGCACCACCATTCTACTTTCCATCTCCATGAATTTGACTCTGTAGGCACCTCATATAAGTGAAATCATAAAGTATTTCTTTGTATGTGTGACTGGTTTCTTTCACTTAGCATAGTACTCTCATAACGTTGTAGCATGGGTCAGAATTTCCTTCCATTTTAAGGGTGAACAATATTCTACCATATGTGTACACCACATTTTGTTTATCCATTTACCTGTTGGTAGACACTTGGCTTGCTTCCACCTTTTGGGTACTGTGAGTAATGTTGCTATGAACATGGGTTTACAAATCAATTTGAGACCTTGCTTTCAATTCTTTTGGGCATATACCCAGAAGTGGAGTTGCTGAATGATCTGGTAATTATATTTTTAATTTTTTGAGAAACTGCTACCCTATCTATCCCTCTCTTTTCCTTACAATATATCAGTTGAAGACTCTGGGATATTTGACCCGTAGAATGTCCCACAGTCTTATTTTGGATGGATGCACTTGCGATGAAGTTCAACATGTCCCTTTGTCCTTCCTCTCCTGCACATTGGCAGCTGGATCCAGGGCTTCCGCCACATGTAGCTTCCATCCCTTTGGCAAGATTAGGGGAAGCACATAATGTCATCTGCCTTTCTGTGACTTCGGTAGCTGGTGATGCTCAGTGCCACTATTTTGGGTTGAATTGTGTCCCCCCAAATTCATGTTGTTGAATGCCTTACCCCCAGTATCTCATTATTTTATTTGGAGATTTTATTTGGGGGTACTTTATTTGGAGATATGATCTTTACAGAGGTTATCAAGGTAAAACGAGGTGTTTAGTGTGGGCCTTAATCCAGTGTGACTGGTGTCCTTATAAGAGGAGGAAATTTGAACACAGGTACACAGCAGGAAGATGATGTAAAGATAAAGCAACTTGACATGGCAACTATATGGACGTGAAGAGGGTTGTTTCTTGCAACTATATGGATGTGAAGATAGTTGTCTCTTGCCCTTCATCCTTGAAAATTTTGCTGGGTAGTACATCCTTTAGTATCTCAAATATGCTACACCATTTCCTTCTGCAGGTAATCATTGCTGTCAGAAAGTCTTATGATAATCTAATTTTCTTTCTCTTATATGTTATTTCTAGATGCTCAATGGATATTTTTTAC